ACATAAAAAGAAGTGGCCAAAATTAAATTATGTTCAAAGTATGAATGCACGAATGCATCTTAAGAAGTTATCTTTTAAACTACACATCTTCTAGTTCGTCAATTTATCATGTTAAAAATATTTATATAAAAATAAGGTTTGAATGAAAATTTATAAAATTCAGTTTGTACCAATACTTTATACATTCAAAGTTTCTATATTACGTAGTTTTGCGTTCGTATATAACTTTACAAAACATTACATTTGCTAGTTCGTGTATCATTCATAATTTTTCAATTAATTGAAATTACATCTGACGAATGCATTTTTGAATAAAACACTTTAAGTCTTAAATTGTTATTGAAATATTGTTATATTTTTCGAATTAGAAATAAACATTGCGAAGTAGACGCAACATTGCTCGAATATCGTTAAATGAAACAAAAACAGAGAACGTTTCTCTCCCATTCTTGTTTGTCCGATTTGGCCCAACAAATGCGTGAACAGTATTTAAATGATGTATATTATGTTTATTTATATCTGTAATAGTCTCTCACCGTTTAACCATGGATTAGTCTGTTTGACTGTGACGTTGTCCTGGAACCGTTTCATCGGCTTCGTTGATATTTTCGAATAAAGGTTCGACATAGCCATTGTCACTTTTCAAACTTGATTGCCCGTCTTTTTTTTTCTAAAATTGTAGCACGGAACGATTTTGGATTTCAGTTACATGGGCGCCATGTCAGACGGGCGCTGGTTAGATAGTTCCGTACATCGGTCGATAGGCAACTTAGGGCACGCGCGTTCATATATCTGGTGGTTCTTAAAAACGCAAACTTCGACTGCGCAGCACGTGCATACAGGGTGTTCGTCTTGACGTAGAATTTTTCTTTGCAGTAACATAGCACTGTCGTATTAACTTGGTCATTGTCGTTCCTGTCATTTCTTTAAATCCACATCTTCACGGAGCACAACTCTGTACATATATTTTAATTGTCAGAATTCTGATGTTCATTTATCATTGTTTCTCAGAAATTCGTTTATTTCACGCTGAAACATACGTAATTTGTGGCATAGACCATTTCCTTCCTAATTGACAAAATTCAGTTCCAATTTGTAGTCAGTTAATGAGACAGTACTAAAAAGATGTTAACAATAATTCATTTGTTTTGAATATAATGATAATAAATATCAAAATTTTTAACAAATATTAAAGTTTCTTTTTCTTGTCGAAATACACTTTCAGAAAGTAAAATTGAAGCCTCAAAAATTCTCCCAATTTTCAACTTCATGTTGTAATCTGCACACTGTAAGACGGGAAAACAGTTTTGAGAGAAAAGTTACTTCTTTTAATTGGAACTATTATGTAATAATAGATTTATTATTTATATAATTTGAAAAAATTGTAAATAATAAATCTTTTACCATGTACTATATATTTTAATTTCAGCCGCTTAAAGCGAATTTCAGTTCCAGAGAAAGAATCGCATATGTATTCATATATGCCCTCCCTGTAGTTTCATAATTTTATAAATTTTCGAATTGGGGATCTGTCGTTAACCCGGGATTACCCACCTGGGGGTCTAGTGCAGGTACATCCCGGCGACTAGACCTTCACGTGGGTAATCCCGGGTTAACGATAATATCACCAAAATCTAAAAACATAAATAAATTTCACATTACACAAATTGTATACTGTATAATATATTGTCCATTCAATAGGAATAATCTTAGTTAATAATTTTCTTTAGTATGCTGCCGCAACTAATTAACAATATTAACGTAAACCCATATATATATATACACTTCACAAGTGATATCTACTTACAAGCAATAATGTACAATATAAATGTAATGCATGAAGTTTTAATAAAATAAATTCAATAAATTAAATGAAAGATTCAGAAATGATATAATTATATTTTTATTCTTTTTGCTATCATATCCTCTACGTTTTAATAAAAGTAACAACAAAAATATATTATAACAACAGAATTCTTATAAGTATTATGTTGATATAAATAATTACAAGTATTATAAATTATAAATTAATTAATTATTAATTATAACTATTATGTTAATATCAATTTGTCAATGTGCGATGAATTTTTAAATTTTATATATAATTGATATTACATTTTTTTGTAGATCCATGTTTATATATCATGAGATTCGCAAATAAACTGGAGTTTGGTGAAAAAACTCACGAAGTATCAATGACAGCTTTACGAGTAGTTCAAAGAATGAAAAAAGATAGTATTCACAGTGGACGAAGGCCGTCAGGATTATGTGGCGCTGGTATTTAAAAAAAATTAATTTCTTCATAATCTATTTTAATATAAATACTTACATTTTAATTTGTACAATTTTAAGTTTTTGTTATAATTTATACATTAATTGCTGTGAATATTTTAAATTTGATATTTAAAAAATATTATTTCTTTTTAAAGCTTTGTTGATGGCTGCTCGATTACATGAGTTCAATAGGTCACCAGCGGATATTATTAAAATCGTAAAAGTGCATGAATCGACATTGCGCAAAAGGTAAATAAAATTTTTAAATAAAATTTTTGAACATTTAAAATTTTTAAATAAATTTTTGTACGTTAAAAGGCTTATAGAATTTGGTGATACACCTTCAAGCGCATTGACTCTTGAAGAATTCATGACAGTCGATTTGGAGGAAGAACAAGATCCTCCAGCTTTTAAAGCAGCACGCAAAAAAGATAAAGAACGATTACAAAGGGTATAGAATCTTTTTTATTTTGCAACACATGTACATATATATAATTCTTTCTTATTTATCTTTTTAGCTAAATATAGATACAGAAATAAAAGAATTGCAAGCTGAAATTGATAAACAATTGGAAGAACACAGATTAGGAAAAACAAGAAAACGCAAAGATGGTAATTGTAATAGCGATTAAAATCAGTTAATTATTTTATTCCTTTTATAAAAAAATTATTTAAAAAATATTCATTTTCAGTTGCTTCTATAGAAAAAGAAGATACAGATAGATTTGTAAGAGAAAGCAATTTAGATGTAATTAAAAATTATGTTGGAAATGATGTAGATGACCCTGATAATGATCTTCAAAATCATGGACCCAATAGTATAAACGATCAATTAATTACTGGATTAGGTAGAAATTAAAACAGTTTTTAAAATTTTATCATGTTATATTATATAATTGTTTTAAAAAATTGTGTAATTATTTAAAGGTCCAAACTTCGCATCTATGGGGTTAATATCAACAAATGATCGTGAAAATGAAATGAAAGACTTAGCGAACACAAATTTTGAAAATGTAAATAAAATTAATTCTAATAAAAGTAGTTGTCATTTATTTATTAATATTTTTTTATTTTAGGATTCTGGAGAGATTGACGTTGCTGATTTCGATGATGAAGAGTTAGATAGTTACATTATGTCAGAAAAAGAAGCACAATTTAAACACAATTTATGGAATAAAGTAAATGCCGAATATTTAATTCAGCAAAAAGAAAAGGAGGAAAGACGGCAGAAAGAAAAAGAAGAAGGCAAACCTGAAAAAAAACGACGGCGGACTACTAAACGTAATAAAAGTCAAGCGCCTGCAAATACTGCAGGTAATATTATAATATTTCTTATAAATTTTACAATATTAATTTGTCATCGATTTTTGAAATTTATTATATTTTTCTATAATTCTATTAGGAGAAGCGATTGAAAAAATGTTGCAGGAGAAAAAAATATCATCTAAAATTAATTATGAGGTATTAAAAAGTTTAAATGTTAATTTAAATAATTCGACTAAGGAACAACAAAAAATTGAAGAACCAATTCAATCGCCGAAAAAAGAAATAAATATTTCATCAAGTTCTAGTAAAATGTTAGTATGTAATATTATTAGGTATTATGATTCTATAAAAAAAACATATATGTCTAACAGATTGTCTACTTTTATAGATCCAGTGTTTCTAATTCATTAGAAACTCAAAATAAGCCAAACACACCAGTAGTAAAGAAACCTCGTGTAACTAAACCTCAGACTCCAAGAAAAGACGAAGAAGTCCAAATGCCAGTTGAAATAGAAACTAACACAACTGAATCTATACTACCAAGAGTGGATACTTCATTAGATATGGGTATATGAGCTATACAAGTCTTCATTTATGTAAAATTCTTAGTCAAAATACTTATATTTTTTTTTATAAAGTAGATGAAACTGATGATTATGTTGATGAGGATGTTGAAGCTGATCCCACAGAAATGACTGTTGGAGAAATGCTTGGACACCATGGATCAGAAGATGAAAATGACTTTGGATATGGATACGATGAAGAAGACTACTAATTGTATTTACTAAGTTGATACTAAGCCCATAAAAATAACTATTAATTGTTTATAATACTGCTATTTATTTATTAGGACTTTATCTATTACAACTTAATAAAAAGACTGTATTCTACAATGTACAAATAAAGCATTTACTATTCTTAATTTATAATTCTATGAATTTTTTATTTAATCTTAAAAATGTATAAGATGGCATGTAATAATTAGGAACAACTTTCGTGAAATGTTGCGCACAACGTTCCAGCACGCACAGTTAATTAATTGCTATTTTTTTCGTGAAACAAAATTCATTGTAAATTCTTCAAAGAATTTTTCTTTTTCTTTTCATTTCTTTTACAAACGCAGTTAATTGAACCTTTCAATATAAGTATTTTCCATAAAGTATTTTTCATGAAAGTAAATACCAGCGATAAAAAAATTAGAATAGGTTAAGATACGACAGTTAAATCTTCAGTTAATAAAATAGAAAAAAATTGCATTAGATTGTATAAATTACGATACTAGATATTGCAAATAATTTATAATATTCAATTAATACTTGCCGCGAAAAAATAACAGAAAATTTATTGATAGATGGCGTTAAAAATTTATTGATAGATGCATTAAAAAACATGGTGGTAGTCTATCATTAGTATAGTGACAAAAGTATGATTCTTAATTGTTTTTAATTTTTATATCGGACAGTAATTCAAGCAATATATGTTTATAATAAATATTCAAAGAATAAATACAAAAATTTGAATTATGTGAATGAATTTGTTTAGTGATTTGATGTTTAGTGATTACTAAAATGTTCAATATCTAACTTAACATATAATCAGTAGAATAATTTATTTATTTTTTGTAATTCAAATCACGTTGATTGCAATTGAAAAAAATCTTATCTACCTTAAATAATAATATATTTATATGTTGAAATCATAATATTAAGAAATAACATTGCTAAAATGCAACATTGATAAAATTAGTTGAAACTGTTTTTATTTGGTTTAGAACTTGAGATCTGTAATCAAACATGGCAAGTACTTCTTCTGATCAGAGCACTATTGCTAAAAAGACATGGGAAATGTCAAATAATATTGAAACAATTAGCACTGTTGATGAGATCTATAGATATGATCGCAAAGAACAACAAGATATATTAGCTGCAAAACCATGGGAGAAAGAGTACATTATTTTTTAAATATTTATATCAATACTAAAATATGTGATTCTTATTTTCAAGTGTATCGGTTATGTTTCAGCCCTCATTTTTTTAAAGATATAAAGATTTCTGCATTAGCATTATTGAAAATGGTTATGCATGCTCGTTCTGGAGGAACTTTAGAAGTAATGGGTCTTCTGCTTGGGAAAGTTGCAGCGAATACAATGATTGTTATGGATTCTTTTGCATTGCCTGTGGAAGGCACAGAAACAAGAGTTAATGCACAAGCACAAGCATATGAATATATGACAGCATATATAGAAGCAGCTAAACAAGTACATTTTAATTATTATTATTATTTCAATTATTACAACTATTATTTAACTATGAAATATTATTAAATAACAATATTTATATTTAACAATTGCTCATAGTGAAATATTTATTGCCTTCTTTATTAAGGTCGGAAGACAAGAAAATGCTATTGGATGGTATCATAGTCATCCTGGTTATGGATGCTGGTTATCAGGTATTGACGTATCTACTCAAATGCTGAATCAAAATTTTCAAGAACCATTTGTTGCTATTGTAATTGATCCTGTCAGAACAATATCTGCTGGCAAAGTTTGTTTGGGTGCATTTAGAACCTATCCAAAGGTAATACATATTTGCTAGTATTTATATTATGTAATAGAAATAAATAATAAAAAGATTATTTGGTACAAAAAGGGATATAAACCAGCAAATGAAGAACCATCCGAATATCAAACAATACCATTGAATAAGATTGAAGATTTTGGTGTTCATTGCAAACAGTATTATTCTTTAGAAGTTTCTTATTTTAAATCATCATTAGATAGAAGATTACTAGATTCTTTATGGAATAAATACTGGGTGAATACATTAAGCTCGTCTAGTCTTCTAACAAATGCTGATTACACTACTGGACAAATATTCGATTTGTCAGATAAGCTTGAACAATCAGAGGTTGCACTTGGAAGAGGATTTATTTTAGGTGGAACAGATCCTCATGATCGCAGTACTGTAGAAAAGTTAATGAAAGCAACAAGAGATAGCTGTAAGACTACTATTGAAATTATTCACGGATTAATGGCACAAATAATCAAAGACAGATTATTCAATCAAGTTGGATGTAACCCTATTGAGTCTCAGCAATAATAAATCATATTTACATATTACACGTAATAATTATAATAAAAAAAATGATATATGTAAAATGTAATTAATAATAAGGAACATTTTTGATTAAAATATAATAAAAAGTTTATCTTTATATTTTTACTATATCTTAATATACACATAGCATGAAAACAAGAACTATAATTTAAAAATAATTGAAATAATTATGTAACTATTAATACAATATTCTTTAAAAAGTAGTGGAATAAAAATACATTTTATTTTCACACCTTGAGTTTCTAGAAAGTATATATACAGCATCTTTATCATTATTCAATATCCTCACTGTTGATTTATATATATATATATTTATATTTATAAAACTAATATTGAGAACAAGTAGGCAGGGTACACCCATTGAAGGGCTGACACTGTGTCACAGACTTTAGGACAAGGCCACTCAGAAACACACCCACCTGTTCTAGAATTATACATCGCATTCATAGCGCACAACATATAAGGGACGGAGCTAAAATGCATACAGTTATACATTTTTTACTAATATGTTATGATAATTATACTTTAAAAGAAATTTAGAAAAAAAAAATAGTAAAAGAACATTTGTTAACTTCATTCAAAGTACTAGACATTTTACAATATTAAAATTAATTGCGCTTAAAACTTGACATACTTATACAATTCCATTAGCATAAGATAAATTAAATACAATTAAGTACAATTGCATAATTTCATTTACATAAAATCTTGAAAAAGGTGAATACTTGTTAAGTAAGATTTACTATTGCTTTTTAATATTATTTTACGCAATTATATCGTGTTCTGCTTCGCATTATTTAGACGCATATTCATCAAGTATTTACTTCACATAGAAAGAAATAACATGTATAAAAAGATGAATTTTTGTTTCAAATTCGTTCAATTCACACAAATTCATTAAATTAAGAGATTAAGAATTGAAATTTTTAACTTCTTTGAATTGAATTTTATATTTTTCTACATATTTAACTAAATCTTACAATAAAAAGGAATGTAAAAATACTTCTTTATGTCATTATTTCCACTATATTTTTTGTGATTTCACAAAACGCAATATATGTTTTTCTTTTAAGTTATATGTTACTAAGCAAAAATTATTAATAATACGTTATAATTTTTTTTGTTAGGTATTTGGAATTAAATTTTTGTGCTTGATTGTTTAAATAAATATTATCTAACTAAAAATATTTTTTAACAATACAAAATTGCTGTAATCATTTTTATCATCTTCAGAAAATATAATTCTAATATTCTTAATATTGAATTTTCAAATAAATAAAAATGTAATATATTTAAAAAAGACCAAAAGAATATATTTTTTTTTAAATTTTAAACTTGTATATGAATTTAATTTTGTTATGAAATGGGAAAAATTTGTTAATAATTTTAAATGATTTAGTAAATGAACACGTATATGTAAGATAATTTGACAACCAGAATTCAGCCCTCCAATGATGTCACATACTCCAAATACATTCAAAACAGTATAAACATCACCCATAGCAGACGCAAATATGGGGTATAGCAACGTACACGCTACATGTATATGTATTTATGTGTAATCCCTTTCTCACCTAAAAAAAGTTTTTATGAAAGAAGCAATTTTGTTTTATTAATTATTGACATGATAATTGCATCATAAATATAATAAAGAATCATATATGTAATAAAGAACCCCATTTTACATTCCTCGTAATAAGAATTTAATTATTTCTACGTCATTTCAATTATTCAATTATTTACAAGGCAATCGTGTCATTTATTACTTACAAATATAGTAGAAAAGATCAATTATTACAGCAAGATTTATGTGCTTGTCGTTGATGATCAGGCAGCAACATTTTTTTATGACAAACACTTTTCACCAGCGTTATCAAGTGATTTCAATAATTCATACATATTTTTTTTCATATACTTTTTTTGTTTTAATTATTCTATACGAGAAATTATATGCTAAATCAGAAACTATAAGATTGTAAATTCGACAGATAAAATAACAGTGTTGCATGTAATATTATTCTATTTGTCTATTATTTAATTAGAGAAAATATTTACACATCTCACAATACATGCAGCATAATACAAGAGAAATTTTACATTCCTTTCTTTCCTTTTTTCAATATTTGATAAATTCGTTACAATAATAAATTTTACTATTTTTGAAAGACTTTAAAATGAATATCATACCATCTGCTCAACAAGTGCCAATTTAAATGGATTATAAAATTTCAATAATTATTTTATAATGCAATTAAACAATTTATTAACAAAACTTGTTTTAACGATAGTAAAAATAATTGTTTATTACATAAATTTTAAAGATTTGGAAGATACTTTGTTACATAAAGTGAAACAGTATAAAGTCAAAATTTAAAAAAAAATTGTGCACAAATGTATTTACAAAAATTATACTTATAAGAAATTACGTATTTAGCTATTCTCCAAGTATAAAATATGTCTTGTGAGCAGATGAAAACCTTGATATTTATTAAAGAAAAAAACGTAATTGATCCTAAATTTAAATCTTATCAGATTCAATGATTATTTTTGACAAATTATCAAATTAATGAATAAACATTTTTTATCGAACGTGTCATTTTACAAATATATTTTCATTTTAGCCGATGAAAAGATGAAATTGGGTTTCAGTCTATTTAAGACTCAATTACTTATTTAGATAGGCATATGTACAATTGTCTTCCTTAATATATCTTGTCACTGTAATGTTAGGGGAGGAAAATTATTTACTTCTGTTTGTTCCAAAACTGGTCCTGTTGGTCCAGTATAAGATATACGTAATCTCATTCTTAGAGGTACCTATATATATGAATGATTAATAACAAAACAAAATACATTTATAAAAATTTTTAAATAGAAAATTACATAAACTTACTTTGTTGATATTTGTAACTTTCAATACTTGAGAAACTTGTCCAGAAGGAGGAATGACTGTGCTTGATGGTGACAACATTTGTAGTTGGAATGTCTGAATAATAAAATATAAAGAATAATCTGTTAACGCAAATCCATAAACGTAAATACAAAAATAATTACTACCTTAGGAACTGCTGCTTGGAACAGAAAATCAGTCAGTATAGCATTTCCAGAATTCTGAGCTGACATATTGATAATTAATAAATCAGCAATGTCTGGTGGTCTTTCCAATCTGAAGGTTATTTTAAGTCCTGCTTTGTCCAATACAATCATAGAAAGTGTATCTAGAGTTATAAAATAAAATTTGTATTGTATTATTAATAAGAAATAAATACTTTATTAAATTGTACAAACCATTTTGAACTGATGATGAATTAAGTAAACCATCTACTAAGAAGTTTGTTGCATTGGTAGGACTAAATATTTGTGATGGCGTTTGTGCCTGTGGCAGTGTAGACGTAGATGTAGGTGCATTTAAATCCAAACTACCAAGTAGGTCCAAGAGATCATTATTGTTTACTACAGTTGTTGAATTCGCAGATGAATTTTTATTCGATGCTGAAGGTGTTATTCCTAAGTCAGTGGTACCAAGCAAATCTAGAAGTGCACTCTATAAAAGTATAAAAAAACATCAAACTTTGTTAAAAAATTAAATGTATTTTTTTTTATAAAATATTTAACAAAAAAACTTACTGAATCAGATGGTGGAGTACTTGCTTCTAAAACTGAAGATTTGTCTTCTTCTGATTCTGGTTCACCATTTACCATACCAATAATTCCATTAGCTTGTGGTCTTGCAGTTTCCATAGGAGGCATTCTTTCAAGTAATGCAGGTCGTAAATGATCATATTTTCTGAACAACTGTGAAAATTCAATACCTCGTTGTTGCAATTCTATATGTAAATTACTTCCAAATGTATCAATTATTTGACGAATTTTTCTGAAATACATACAAGAAAGAATTATATAAGTACCATTTAAGAAAAATGAATATAAAAATAATGTGACAAGTAGTAATGATAATTAAATCTTTTAGCTTACTCATTTCCCTTCTGAAATCTTGTGCTAAGTTTTGTGAGAGACAATAAAGTATATTGTTTCGTGACAACAGTGTTTTGTGGATTCCAGAGTAACCTTTGATAGACGTCAATAACTTCATCTTCCGTTAACTAATAATGGTATAAAAAATTAATTTTATTTAATATTTTTTAATCAACTTAATTGTCACATAAAAATTGAAGAATATATAACATGTATATATAAAGCATACAAATAAACATACATCAACTGGAGTATCTATATCTTCTGATGGTGGCCCATATAATAATAAATCACCATATTCACCAATGCACCAAGTTGCTACTTGAGCCAATGGTTGTTTATCAGATGTATCTTTTTCTAATGCTCTCCATAAGGCGCTGACAGCATAACTTTGCTGTGACTGCGTTTCTGAAATTAACTGAATGGTACATGCTACTACGTCATCTCGAACGTAATTACCAGCCTAGAAAACAAAGAAAATAATAATATTAAAGATTTAAAGTATAACTAAAGAGAACAATAATACTGATATAATAAATTTCATACAGCAACAAGAACTTTGAATAACGTTTCAAGATGCCAGCGCTTATTTGGTGCAAATCTTTCAGCAGACATTACTATATTACTACTACATTGAGCTTTAAATTCTGGGTCAGCACGTTCCAAGAAAAGTAATAACTCCTTCATCATATTTCTAATATTGTTCGAATTTACAAGTGCAAAACTAAGCTCCATAGCTCGTCTTCTAATTGATACATCTGGATCTTTTAGACACTCCTAAGAAAAAAAACGAAAAAAATATAAGAAATATTTAGTTGTTACACTAATATAAATAATGTAACATTACCAAAATTGTAGAACGATGTCTTTGTACTGCACTTGTATCTACATAAACTGTTTTTAACAATGTATTCAAAGCAACATATCGAATATTCTTATCATTATTTAATAAAAATCGACCTAATATATTCACTGCTAATACTCTTAGTCCACTTTCAGATTTTATATCCATAATAGATAATACAGTTTCATATAATATCGTGTTTCCAACATTTTTACTAGTTTCTGTATTAGTTGCAACTTGTGCAAGTATATCGTTCATCGCTTCGGATGCATCGATATCATTACGTCCCAAAATTCGGAGGAGACGTAATATTTTTACTTGAAGGAATGGATCAGATACTCCAGATACATCATGTTCTGGAGAATATCCTGCTAGTATCAAATTTTTTAAAATCCTCACAAGATTTGGCACAATCTGAAATAATAATTTTATCTTTATTGAATAATATATTATTAGCATAATTTTATGTGAACAAAGTTTAATCAAGAAATCTGAAAACAAATTATAATAGTATGATATTGCATATTTTCACAGTAAAATCTCTTAAAGTGAAATTATCAAAAAGCAATATTTAATACTAGATACAAAAATAAAGATGTACATTGTATATTTAAGAAACAGATATAAGCTGCCATCAAAAAGTAAAATCAATTAAATTACATTATTTGTGCACAAACAGCTACATTTTGATGTTCATAATATAACTAAGAAGATATTTAATAAACTATGCTTTATTATTATATATTGTATACATATATAAAATACATTTTTTACACACGCGCGCGCGTGCAACAGAGAAGTGTAATATTAAAATTTTTATTTATTATATTGTAAGTGCTTCATATATATACTATAATTTTAAAATACATGCACATGTTTTGATATTTCATATATGAAGTATTTCACATTAATTTCATATTGAAAAAGCAGTTAATATACATAATTAAATATTTGCATAAAATAAAACGAAAACACATATATAAAATAAAAGATAAGAATATTCATAATAAGCATAACATGCAAAAATATAAAGAATGCTCATATGCTTTTTACCTCTCGATGGCCGCATTCCTAGGAAGATAAAACCATACTTATATTATGAATATCACTATGAGCAAAATTTTATTAAAAAATAGCACTTATGTAAGACTATTAATCATTTAAAACTTTTTTAATAAAATATTTTATATTTCTTTGTGTTTTTAACACCAGATATATCTTCTGTCTCAATTAGACTACCTTTCTTTTTATAAACTTTTTCTTTTTTGTAAATTCAATTTGGTTAAAATGAAAAAATTTTTACTAAGACTATGAATTCAATGCTTAACTGTTAATGCTACTACAATCTAATTTGCAGCTATTAGACTAGTAAACTAGAAATAACAACAGTAAAAAAAGTAAACTGTATAAAAAAAATATATATATATATATGTATATAGAATGTTCTTTACTAGTTACAAACAACTAAATATTTAACTAGTTTCTGTGTAATATTTCTATCTCATATTAAAACATGAAAAACTTACCTTTTTAAAATGATTCAATGTATCAACACTGTTTTCACACATTTCTGTAATAAGTGTAACACCTGTGATTAATACACCATGATTCTTCTCTGTAATTAAACTACGAGTAGCAGGTAGAAACATTTCCATCAATTCTGGTACACGTCTAATAATTCTAAATGCACAAAGTGCTGCTTTTTTCCGAATATATGCATTTGCTGATTTCATTAGCCTCTCAACTTCAGATGCCAGATCTCTTGCCATTTCTGGTGATGCGATTGCACCCAAAGTACATAATGCCAAACCAATAACAAATTGTGTGGAGCTATTTAAATCACTGTAAAAGAATTAAATTTAAAATTTTAAAATACTTCATTACAAAATACTCATGCATGCTTTAAAAAAATATTAAAATTATTTTATGCAAATATTACTTTTTTAAACAATTCGTAATTAAAAGATGAACATCCTGTCGTTCATCAAGTAGTAACATTGCGCCTAAATAACCAATTCGTTTGTCTGTAAACCTTGGGGATGCAATAAGTTTTAAACATTCTAGTTGACCAAAATGAGCTGGGTACCTACAAAATTACTTAAAATCTTACTTCTGATAAAAGCAAGAATATCGAATTATCAATCTTATATTATTGAATATAAAAGGAAAATTTAATACAAACCCAAGCATATGAATATATAAAAGTTTTGCAATGTTACGACATCTCCATACACTATCTTCTTCTCTGAATGTTGAACGGATATAAGCACATTCTTTATTAACAACTGTCCTTTCTTCTGCCGCAGTTCTAGCAGCTCTTATTTGTCTGATGAGATCCCTCAATCGAGTTGGTGCAGGCATTCTAACTGTTGAGACTTTTAAATTATACACACGTTATCAAGTTTAATGTTAGTAGAATTGAGTGCTCAAGCTATGAATAATGATTGTATTAAATTAAATGCTCAAGTTATGAATAATGATTGCATTAAATTAAAATTTATAGGAAATGCAAGCAATGATATTTAATTCTATAGAAACTTTATAACAATTGTAAGCTTTTGTTTATTTTATAAATGATACTACACTTACCTCTTTCTACTGCCTCATTAAACGCTTGTTTTATGGAGGCCATATTAAAGGCTGGGTTAAACCTGCAATGTACACACCCATGCTATTTACACACACAAACCATTTACATACCACTTTGTTTGTTGTGCAATGATACCCGTAATACGATTTTAATTATTCTTTACTTGTTTCAAATAAACTATTTTGAAGCAATATTATAAATTACTATTGAAATAATATACTTTCTATCATTGTAATAACAAACTGTTCCTTTAATTAAAATTTAAGAAAGATGACTTTATTGAAATTAATGTAGTATCAGAAAAAATACAAAAGATTAGTGGTAATTTATGTTATCATCTTGTTATCTCTTCATTATATAAAATTAATATTAATTTAATGTTAAAGAATATATATTACCCGTGTTCTGAAGCATTCATGATTCTCAATGATGTTCTCAAATATATGTGACAAACTTCAGCAATAATAAATGAAGTATAGATGAATACGGTACGCACGCTGTTTTCTTCCTATTGAGAAAAGGTCATATAATATTATAGATAACTATAAAATGTTATTTGATATAAAGACTTTAAACAACTACAAGTATAAAATAAATAAAAATAAGTTGATGTTCTCTACTTCTGCCTTTATAAATCTTTAAATTTTCGAATTGGAAAGAATTATTGGATAATATATTATAGAGATATATAAGATAATTATTGGATTAATATAAAATGAAAAATACAATGTAACAATACAATGTAACATAAGAACAAATTAAAATTGTATTTATATATTAGACAATACAAAGAACAAAGGTAACTCTATGTATATTGCAATTCTCTAATTGTAATTTGTATTGTAATTGTATGTTGTAATTATCTTTGTCTGTCACATATGAACTTACAAATAGAAACAATTGTTTATATTTACAACTACTGATATACAGGTGTTATTTATAATCTGATCTCAGTTCAAGCTGAAAAACAAATGCAATACATCGGTCTATTTGTCGAATAGAGAACATAAACTCAAGTATCCTAGTTTTTAGACGCGTTGCAGAAAAAAGTACATATGAATGCAAAATAATCGGCCCCGCTGGCAAAATCTAAGCAGTTGAGATCAGAAGAGTGCAATGCATGCAATGGATATTACCTAGTTCTTTTTGAATGTCATTCGACCACAAATTCACGTGCTATAAAAACGCGTCGCGGTCGCACGGCTCGTGCAACTCGGCAGCATATTGTAAAACGTGTGAACGTGTGAACCGGTTATATAAAAGATCATTCGCACTGAAGGGCATCGAACGAAAGGGTTAGTTTTCTAGCTGTCAAACAGTACCAAATCAAGGACGACGGCTGGTTTTCAGGAAACTTCAGGCAGATCCCGGCAATTATGTAAACGGACGTTTTACGACGTACGCACGAAGGACCGAGAGGCGCCGTTCGAATTTCTATCGTTGTCGTATATCGCCCACCTTTTTACACAACGCAACGTCGTATGACAAATACAGCGAGGAAAAAAATGCCTCGCTTCCTAGGGCGCGAGTTGTGCGCCCTCACTCATTTTTGCAGTCTCTATTCCGCACCTGGCATATCCGCCTGTATATCGGTTTATATATACACGATTGCATTCCGAATATTTCTTCTCTAATTTTATTTATATCGTTAACAATACATACCGTACGTGACAATTTGACTCGCAGGAGGGAAGAGGGGGAGAGGTTAATCAACTGGGAAAAAAATCATGGACATAGTTGGACGTCCACGGTTGTCCACCCTATCGCACGACGAGTACTCTTCGACGATGGTCCGTGGTATTCGCGCACCGAGAATCAAAATGGCTACCCATTTTCAACTGACGTTGTTCCCTGATAATACCGTGTATAATTTAGTTAATACTGCCACGACCATTTCCTGTAATGCATATGCTGCCTGATCGAAGCGTCAGCGAACAGATATAACAGATCATTTTTTCCCAAATTTCCAACTTCCCGTTCCATTTTCCTTTGCAGTGTTAATTACAGCTCTCTTATTTACACTTTTGTTCAACGTAGTGAATAATAATGAATGTTCGTCTCTAAAGCGCGAAATTTGTACTATTTTGTTTAGTTGAAAATTTATATTTCAGTTTCTTCACTCTTTTTTTTTTTTCCCTCCATAAGAAAATTATTATAGAACCTTTCAGTGATGCCTACTTTCTTGTTAAACATAGAACAGTTTATAACTTCATGGTGAAATCTAAATACACAAACTAAGCATCATTGCACAATTTGCATTAAAAATAATGAAACTGTAATATACATATATATATATATATATATATATGTGTGTGTGTGTGTGTGTGTGTTTGTTTGTGTGTGTGTATAATTTTTACATATTTTATATATTACAACAAATAAATAATAAATAATAAATAATAAATTACAATAAATTGTTCCATAATTGTTTCTTATTTCATTTGTATTAAATAAATTTTCTAAGTATTTTTATAAAATAATATGTAAAATTATATACTAATGTAGTAACTTATACTAGGTACTTGTTATAAAGATTTATTAAATAATTTAAAGTATATAATTGTATATAATTTATATATATATATATATATATATATATATATATATATATATATATATATATATATATATATAT